TTTTCCCATCGTTAAACTAGCAAAAGTGGATTCGGACACGCCCTAAGTGCACCTGCGCTTTAGACCTTGCGCTTAGATCATTAAAATAGGGCCCTAAAACTTCACTTGAAATGCGTGTTTATGCTATGTTTGTTATTTGCATATACAATTTTTGCTGAACCTCTGAGCAACACATAGCAAATTAATACTTATTTTTAATTTTAAAATTAATAATCATATATAAGTAATCCCTTTACGGTTGTAGTAGAATAATTTAGTTATAGAGTCAAAAAGCAGAAATAAAACATATGCAGATATATGCATATTCTGAATATATATATATATATATATATATATATACACACACACACACACACACGCACGCGCACACGCACACATATATAAACCAGTATGTGTGTAGAAATTTATTTTGGAGCCTCTCTAGGTGTGTGTGTATTACTGCATTCCAAAAATAATGAGCCTCTCAAGGTATCAATACACACAAATGCATACATTATATAAGTATAATATATGAATGAATGAATATTCATTCATTCAATATATACATATAAGACATTAGAACATTCTAAACTAATTGTTAATGATTTAAAGATTAACTTCCCCATCAATAATACGATATGCTTGGCAAAGGCAATGAATGAACGAACGAACGAATGAATGAATGAGTCAGTTGAGACACACAGGTGTCCTCCACCGTGCAGTGACGTCACGGGGAGAGCGGGTGCGGGGCAGTCATCTGAAGGGATCTGAATAGGAATGTGCTGCAGAGTCATCAAGACGTCTTACCTCCACCATTTTTGTAGCACAGGTACGGGAAGCGCCAGACATTCCCCAGACCCACGGCGAACCCCACACAGGACATGATGAAGTCCATCTGCCTGGTCCACGTCTCTCGCTCGGGGAAACCCTGCTTCTTCTCCGCCGCCGATATGGTTCCAGTGACCGCTGATATGGGCCCGCCGTTGAGGGTCCCATTGACGCCTTGATGCGCGTTTCCATTGGGAATGAGATGGCCCTTCTTCTCTTCCACCAGGACCATGTTCAGGGCGCAGCAGTCTGCGTCCAGAGAGGATTTCTCCATCTCTCGTGTAAACAAAGCAACCGAACCTCCAGTCAAAAATAAATATGTGATCTCTTATTGTTTTTGGATTAAGTCAATTTTCTTTATTCACACCAAGGTGTCCCTTTTGTTCCTCTTCAGGTGCACGGGATCTCTTTTTATTTAATAAAATCTGCAGTGCTAATTCTTTACGGATGTATTTTCCGTTTCTCCTCAATGTCAAACGGTCACAAGGGATGGCAGTTTGATTCTCTCGGCGAAATTGGCAACGGCTATTATTGGTTTGTTTAATCAAAAACGCGTTTGGAAAATAAATAATAGATCATAAAAGGGAAAAAAGACACTGATTTGAAACAGCACCTTCAAAAACAATCCACGAAACACTTAAAGGTGAGTCTGAAGAATCGCATGGGCACTTGAATCTCTCAGAGAGAAGGCGACTGAGGAGACGGCGAAACCAAAGCGGCCCTTTGCGCGCTGATCAGATGAATGTAATGGAATTACATTCACGAATTGATCGCCTAAATCTCTTCAGACCATCGTTCTCGTCGGTATTTAACACCCAGAATGTATAAATGAGACGCGAGTCGGTGTCTACGGGAGGTGCGACTGCTGCTGTTGCTCTGTGCGCGCGGACGGACTGTCTGATGCGTCCGCGTGAAGCCGCTTGGTGTTTTATCGGGCTCGGTAACGTCATTTGGAGCTCAACCCTCCCCCTCTTGTCCCGCTTAAGGAAAACGGAATGGAACGCTCACGTACGCTGCACACTACACACTGTATACTACGCACTACACAGCAAGTGGGATTCTAGCTCACTGGAGCTCCGCGCGAGATCAGATCTGAAAGATTTTATCGCAGTTCGAATGCATTATGCAATTCATTGCAGTTTAGTTGCGTTATGAAAACAATAATAATTTTTTTTTTTTAAATCGGCATAAATGAACGGCAGTTAAACTGATTGTGATGTAGGCTACTTGTGTTTCTAACATAAAATGTACTTGTATTTATAGTATCCATTTATTTTACATATAAGTATATACATATATGTATATAATTATATAGATGCAAACATATATATATATATATATATATATATATATACACACACACATGCAGATTTAGAAGACAATGACACCTTACAAAGAGCATAGCATATACCAAATGGGATTAAATGTGTTTTGAACAGTCCATTTGGGACTGTTTAACAGAATAAACTATGTTTTTATTTTAAGAGCCAGAAATAGCAAAAGGCTAACAGTTTCCAATGAAAAGAGGACATTTGTAACACACACAAACAAGCAAACGCTCTCTCTTTGACTCTCTCTGGAGTGGAACGAAATGCAACAGCTGGAGACAGTCCTCACAGGACCCGTGGATTTAGAATAAATGAAAAAGTAAGGAGAGAAAAAACCTCTCCATCTGGTGAAATATGACGCGGATCTGGGATTCAGGCGCTCTCAACTCAACCGCTCAGTTATGATTTTTAGTAGTGGAACAGAAAGTGGGGATTATCCAAAGAGATAAAAATTCCCTTGGCAACATGTGTTTACATACACACAGTGTCTCTGTCTTTCTCACACAGTCAAACACACACACACACATGCAGATTCCTGGAGCTTTTGGCCCTTTGTGACAGATATATCTGACAGGAAGTGATGAAAACCCTTTAATGATTCTGTAGCAACCTGTCAGCTTCCCTTCATCACACTGCCATTAACATGACATAACACCTGCAATTAATGCCCTTTGTCTGTTCATCATACATGATCTAGCACAAAAGAAACTGATTGTAGTGAATCCACAGCTTTGTGATCCAAAGAGTGCATCTGTGAAATACTACTGATGGAACTAGTTATATCAACCTTCTCAGCTAAATTTACTGATTCAAATGCACAAGCTCTGCATGTGAAGCCAAACTAAGCCAAACTCATGCAGTGGATTTATCTTTAAAAAATTGAGGAAAAAAATATATTCATTTTATATTTTCACCAATAAATAAATAAATAAAAATAAAATAAAAACATCAAACTAGTGTTTGTCATACATTGTAAAAATTCTTTGTTAAGTAACCCTAAAAATGTGTTTGAAGTAGTAACATCTAAAGTAACTGGTAATATTTATGTCAAAAATATTAGATTAATATTAGAATATGAACCAAAATACATTGAATAAACAATTAAAATTCATTTTCAAGGTTCTGTTCAAATGGAAATCTCATTTGAGAAACTGCTGCACAATGAAGCTTTTTGAATTTAGTTTAAGGGCAAATTGGGACACTTTTTGACTGTAATATTAGATCAAAAGTTACCCGAATTGACTTTATAATTGCAATATCAATAAAATACTGAATTTTGTTAATGCTGTTACTCAGTTTGTCACATAGAGGAGCAGAATGTCTCTGCTACTCATTGACTAAAAACATTTTATTGCTGAATATACTGTACAGTAGCTCATGCGCTGCAGGCCAAATCCAGACTGCTCGGGATTCAACATAGCCTTCATTAAGTGGAGGACGAGATGCAGAAAGTGAGAAGATGAGGAGAGTAAGCTTAGGCAGTGTATGGCATGCTGTATTGCATATATTGTCATTCCAGTGATCTCCTCTTGTATTAAATCATTCATGTCTTTAAGATGAGATTCCCTCTTTTCCACCTGGGCCACACACAAACACACACACAGAGCCACACTCTGCCAAATGTCTATCTCTGCCCTCATTAATTATCTCTCGCCTTAGCTAAATTATTTAACCCATCTCAAGGTCCTCTCAAAGCATTCTCACAAACATACACACAACTGCACCAACATGAGTTTGGATTCGCTCTTAAAGGGATAGTTCACCCAAAAATGAAATTTGCTGTCATCATTTACTCACCCTTATGTCCAAACTTTTTTCTTCTGTGTCCACGAAACACTTAAAGGTGAGTCTGAAGAATCGCATGGGCACTTGAATCTCTCAGAGAGAAGGCGACTGAGGAGACGGCGAAACCAAAGCGGCCCTTTGCGCGCTGATCAGATGAATGTAATGGAATTACATTCACGAATTGATCGCCTAAATCTCTTCAGACCATCGTTCTCGTCGGTATTTAACACCCAGAATGTATAAATGAGACGCGAGTCGGTGTCTACGGGAGGTGCGACTGCTGCTGTTGCTCTGTGCGCGCGGACGGACTGTCTGATGCGTCCGCGTGAAGCCGCTTGGTGTTTTATCGGGCTCGGTAACGTCATTTGGAGCTCAACCCTCCCCCTCTTGTCCCGCTTAAGGAAAACGGAATGGAACGCTCACGTACGCTGCACACTACACACTGTATACTACGCACTACACAGCAAGTGGGATTCTAGCTCACTGGAGCTCCGCGCGAGATCAGATCTGAAAGATTTTATCGCAGTTCGAATGCATTATGCAATTCATTGCAGTTTAGTTGCGTTATGAAAACAATAATAATTTTTTTTTTTTAAATCGGCATAAATGAACGGCAGTTAAACTGATTGTGATGTAGGCTACTTGTGTTTCTAACATAAAATGTACTTGTATTTATAGTATCCATTTATTTTACATATAAGTATATACATATATGTATATAATTATATAGATGCAAACATATATATATATATATATATATATATATTAGTAAATAAATAACTAATTAGTTTATAGTTTTCTTTCTTTCTTTCTTATGATCCAGACAGTGAATTAAGTTAATTAGATAGCAGATAAATTAATAATCAAAAAACATGATAACTTGTTTTCAAAAACTTAAGTGATTTTGGGGAATGGGGCTAAAGACTATGACCCATTGACGTCAAAGAGGGCAATTAATTATTTAATACAAACTTTCTTTCACCATTACTTTTCTCAAAAATGTTTATCCATAAACACTTAATGTAATTAAATTTAAAAAAAGAAATACTAACATAAATAAAATTGTATTTCTTAAATAAAAATATATATTTTTAAATTGAATAGAATTTTTTGATTGTCATTTAGAGACTAGAAAGACGTACAACACATGCGTGAATGCAGTCAGTAGGTGTAGTATGCTATCTAGCAAACATACCCACAGTCTATGTAGTGCCCTGATGACTATTAGTCATCAACCACGTGCCTCACGCTTTTTGCATTACAAAATACATTAACCTCCTACTGACCACAGAAGATGCCATTGTCCCATTCTGGAAAATTACAAACTTACATGAAGCGCTGCTGAAGATTTTCCATTGATTTGACATGCTCTGCCAAGTGGTGAACTAGAAATAAAAATAAACAAATTTATATACAGAATTAGAATTATTTTATTCACACAAATACACAGACTCATAGAAATCAATCAATGAGTTTTATCTCTTTTACCATGGTAAGTACAGTTTACATTAATTTACCAGTTACTAGTTATTGTTACGACAGGAAAACTATGGTAACTTTTTATGGTAACACCATTTTAAAAATCCATATTAATTCATGATGGATTAACAGTAGTAACAATATCTGTAGCAAATGCTATTTTGCTAGAAACTGGCTACAATGGAAATTTTTGTAAAGGCTAATTCTACCAAAGTCAGCAGCAGGTATTGAGTGCAGTGGTAGTTTTAGTAGAGTTGTTTGTCCTGAGGCTGTAAAAGGTGGGAAAGGTTTGTCCTTGTGGGACCACAAAATTATACTGAGGTCAGATTTGTCCAATAATAACCCTAAAATCTTTACAGGAACTTTTTTGGAAAGATTTTAAGATTCTTGAAAACCACACATGTATATATGAATAGTACTCATAGCTTCAGTGAGTCATACTATAAACATCTCTGGATCATATTGACTGTTGCAAATTACAGTGGGGCGTTGTGTGAACTGTATGTGGCTGTTCGAGGAACCCTGCTATGATTCAAGGAAACCCCACATCTTATCTCCATGACGAGTGAATTGCGGTCATAGGGGACAACAATTCACGATCCTATTTTTTTCTTCTTCATAACTGAACCAACAGTTTGGCTCCAGGGCAAATGGGTGGTAGGGAAACATGCAACTTTCTGTTCACAATGCAAAGCAAACATGTTTATACATGTTTATATTCCATCTGTGTCTTTGTTACAGATTTAACCATGCATGAAACAATCTTTAAGTCTGGGAATTAAAGAAATGGAGAAGTGAAATAAAGAAGCTCTGGTCATAAGTATAATTTACAGTTTTCATGTTGACTAACGGGTCAGGAGAAACACAAGCCCCGAATACGTTAAAATTAGGCAGCTTTGATCTCAGTAACCTTTAAAATAGCTTTTTCCTGTCACGTTATTATATACACGTCACAAATATGTTTTACCATACTAGGCCGTTCATTTATTTGACCACAATATTTACGTACGTTAAGAAATTGTTGGCCGTACAGTATATTCCTTAAACAGCTTCTGCTTTGATTAAGTGCTTTAATGTACTGTCTGTTCATTTAACCATTTCAGAATCATTTTCCTTCTCAATAAAACGGCAAAAAAGTCCCTTTAGGGGTGCAACAGATTGTCACTGGGACAGTACTGTTAAAGGGACAGTTTTATACTTAATTTATACCTAAATAGTACACAGCAGTACTACTCTAAGGTACTAATTGCACCTTATAGGGGTAAAAAAAAAAAATAATACAAAATTGTCCCATTAAGGGAACTGCCCCAGTAACAAGCTATTGTACCCTAAAGGTACAATTTTTGCACTGTTTTTCTATTTTAATATACTTATAATATACT